TAGACAAGTTCCTTGTTGAACTTTTGTCATTACCCTGTCATTTTATTAACATCATAGACTAAAATAAATTGATTGATTGATCATGTAGCCACAATTTTAATTCTCCGCCATACTTTACAGGGGCGATGTAGGACAGTGAAACGATCATTGGTAGCTCTAGTGAGTGACATCGAAAGCATTCGAAATATAAAACTGTTTATAATCCTATCTAATGGTATCGACACTGACCTTCACGATCTGGCTTCGTAATTCATGTGGAAAAGATCAACATACGTTGCCTCAATATCTATTATGATTTCGAAAATCACAACTAAATAATCTACACAGTTGTAGTAAAGTATCAGGAAGGCTATGAAGGTCCCAGCATTGATCATATCTTGTTCAACGGAAGAAGGTGACGGTTCATTTGAATAACTCACAGTATATGGGAGAAATACATATAAACGATAGTCTCAATGGCCATGTTATCAAACTGTTCAGCGTTTGTTGGCTCGAAATAACCGGTAAAATGGAAAATATCCTTCCAGGAAAATATGATCTCTCATGGAGAATGCGGTTGGACGCGTCAGCAGAGATTGATGGAACAACCGAGTTTCTTGCTGTGTCTGAGCATGGCACGTTAATCTGTTACTCGTGGACTGACGAAACGATTCAAGAAATGAAAATAAAATATGGAACAGCGTGGTTCACTGTAGACATGGGTACAACAACCATTTAAACCGTCAACAGTTTATTTAGCTGTCAGAAATTGGGCGAGCTCTGAATGGAAGGATGGTCTGTCATGAGACTGTTGCGAGCCGAAAATGTTGCCACTTTAAACCGACTAAATCGAATGAGGAATGAGAAAACCGATCAGTCAAATGCAGCGTCACAATCTCCATTTGAAGCTTAAACTGACGTTTATCCTCATTGATGAAAAGATGGGAAATGTATCAAAAATACTCAATTATCACTTCTGGTTTGAAAATGGTGTGGGTCGTAACTCTCTTCTGTATGTTTTACCGGTTTTAAGAGCAACTTTTGTAATACCGTCCTTTTCTGTGGATGTGTCTTTTTCCGATAACGTTTTGAAGGCTAACTGAAATTCAACGTTACTAAACTTAAACCAGCAAAATAGGGAGAAATAGTTAGAACTAGACTAGTTTCAATTCAACTGCAACTATTTTATTCATAACTTGAGCCTAATCGCGATTCTATAGAATTTTTATTTTATTTTTTAACTCTTGTAAACAAACACAAATTATTTGTTTCAATATTTATCAACTACAATTCATTTATGAAGTAATGGTATCGCAACAAATCTCTATCAATCAATTCTCGTTTATATAGGCTCGATAAAAGGCTCATGATTAGAGGTGTTAGTCACTCCGCTGTCGCCGCTGCAGTCGAAATTTTTTTTTGAAATTTCACGCTGCTGCCACCATAGACGGAATTTGTTTTTGAAGTTTTTCGCCGCTGATTCGAAACTTTTTCAAAACTTCTTCAAAGAAAATTTATTTCAAGTTATAATTTCTTTTAAGATTTTCACGCCACCGCCGACAAAGGCGGAAAAATTTTATTTTATTTTTTCGCTGCTGCCAGTAAAGCTTTCAGTTTGTCTCCTCTCCGCGGATAAAGATTGTTATCTTCTTCGATTCGATGAATACCAAACGTCAAGTGACAGCGAAGTGACGATGGTGAAACCATTGCCGTACAGTCTGATCTTTCTGCGTTGCTCTATATTCAATGAGAAACAACGCACTTTGCCCAAATTGATTTTAATCAAGATGCTGGTTAACAAACGATTGTCATCCAGACCAGTGCGAAGTCACAACCGTCAATGAAAATAAACTTGTTCGTTCCATTCAATACCAGATCGAAGATCTTGTCTTTGCGGATCTTGTCTTTCGACGAGCAACTCTACGTTCTGGTCATTTGTTCCTAGAATCCAGATGATTTTCGAGTAACAGCGAAGGTCACACTCATCTAGTTTCTTCTCTTCTCATTCGAGTGATAAACAATCTGCTCCCGCCGGAGCTAGAAGAAATAGTCGAGCTCTGAGTGTTTGGTCTTTGATGTCTCTTCAACCGAAAAAAGTCTCTCGCCTGGATGTGCTCGAAGTCAACTTTTCCAGTGATCAGATAATTCTCTTGGCTTCGTTATACAATCGACTGGCGAATCCTTCTCCAACTCATTGAAATCCAAATTGATCAATGTAGTCAACTGCAGTTATTGAACTCGAGTGTTCTGATGATCGTCAAGTTGATCCTGTGAACTTCGACGCGTGTCATTGGTTCTCGGTAGATCTTGATCGAATGTCTGAGTTGACTGGTTGAAAGCGAACATTAGTTCATGTGACGTCAATCGAATGTGTTGACGATTCTTGATCAAACCATATGACGACGATGGACAGCGAAAGATCTGCAGATGAGATTGAGGGTAATGACGAGGTATTGCAAAGCTTCAAATAGGTGTCCATCCATTGATCGACATCTTTCCAATTAAATAAATGATCATTGGAGAAACAGAGTGACGAGTGAAGATCTTCAAGACGTTAAGCGAAACTCGTCGTTCTCAGTGGACACCATCTGTTCGTCGATCAAAGTGACAAGAGACGTCGAGCAGAAAACCACCAGTTGACTCAAGGGACAAGTGAGACATTTAAGTGATCATTGGAAAACGATTATCCAGGACCCGTCCAATATGGAACAATGCGCCGAGAATTTTGTTTGTGTCCTGCTCGACTGACTTCGTCGTCAGGGCTGAATTGTTCGCAAACAGACAGAATATTTTCTTCCCATGTTCGACTCGTTCCACTAAGAGAACGCCGAAGATTTGCATCGATCACTGTCGTCGTTCATACCAAGTGCAATTCGACAATGCAGAGACTTGAGCAAAGTGACCATAGGACAATGACGTCAAGCGAGCGCTCACTGGGAAGACGAGCATCGATTAACGCAACAAATCTCCCATTATCCATCGATGACAATCGACATTTTCACATTGCTGTTCAAGTTTGGATCCCAAGGACATTTGCACAAGTTCAACTCAAGAATCAAGTCGAACATGGAAGTTGAACGAAACAACCATTCGTGTTGTCACATCTGCCTCGTTCTGATCAATCTCGACTCGATTCCTATTTCTTTTCTTTCACCGCATTGAAGATCAAAAAGAACAAATAATGACGTGTCATTTCGCTTCATCGTCAACAAAATAAGTTTGTTTTGTCAGCAATGAACTGATTATCTGTGTTCGAACGCGATCAATTGTCGCCTTGAAGAGTTGCATTTTTCTTCAGCTCGTCGACACTTCTAGTTTAATCTTTGTTGTGAACAGAATCAGGCATAGGCGAGTCTGAGAGGGTACCAAGTCCGAGTCCTTAAAAATTCAAGCCGAGTTTTAGTCCGAGTCCGTTCGAGTCCGGTATTTTTTTTAGATTCTTTATTGGCGAGGGTGGTTTATTTCTCTTTTTTAATTTACTGAGCCCTTGGTAGATATTTGATTTTTAGAAAATAACGTTACTTTGCATGCCCGTCTCCCGAACAAAATTTTCAACTTTTTGTGAAACAGAAGGTGTTGTTATTACACGTTTCATTTTTTCTCTGTTCATTTGTGTTAAAAGTTGAATAGATCGGACGCGAAATACACAAACTCAAGTTCGAGTCCGCCAGTCCGGACTCGGACTCACCCATGCCTGAACAGAACTGAATTTGGGTCGGATGATGCGACTCTTGTTTGCTTTCTCGAATTCACTTCGAGTCTCTTTCGATATGGCCAAGACTGGACTTGTTTCACTCGAACGATCACTTCCAAAGCTCCAACTTCGTTCCGAAAACAACTATCGATCTTCACCCTAGTCTTGTTCTTCGACGCCCGAATGTTCAAGGTGTTTCGTTGTGCTCCAACGAATTGTTGACATTTTGTTCGTCTTTTCGAAGACAAATGGCAGCGACACCTATTGAAACCTGAGCAAAAGATCTTTTATCCTGAGTCTCCCCGGCACAACCCAGGAAACCGTAAATGGCAAAAAAGGCACTTAAATTTAAAGTTTCGCCCAGCCAAACGTGAGAATTTACATGCATTTACGGACAAAATCTACTAATTAAATGCATTTATTTTTACATGAGTTTGAAATTTCTTTGCATTTACATGCATTTAGCGTCTCTATCAATGTAAACGAATGCAATTTAAACGCGTTTAACTGCATTTGAGGACAAAATCTACGCTTTAAATGTATTTATTTTGCATTCATTTAAATGCATGCAAAATAAAGCCATTTAAATTCCTAGTACCGTAGTACTACCAAGCCTATTTTAGGCATGGCATGATGATATATTTTCTTCTATCTATTCTGTCTTCTTCTCTCTCATTTCTCCTTACGGTTGAAATCCAGTCCAGACGTGTTAGAAATTAAGTCGTAGTACATCAACTAGCAAATACAGAGTTTTTAACTAGTATTTGGTAATGCACGATTATGACACGGGAGTACTATTAGCGATGACTGTTTAATAAGAGGACAAGTTCCCTTCCGTGTAAACATTTATAATTGATAAATGTTTTCAGGTAGGTGACGCTTGTGATATAGACTATATACACCATATATACATATATTATGTCGGAGTTCAGATTGGAATCTAGAGGAATTCGGAATTCGCCTAGGTGAGAATAGAATTCTGATTTCAACTGATTGAGATTGGAATTCTAACGTCAACTAGTTGTGATACGAATGGTGCCTAACTGAACTAGTTGAAGTTAGAATTCTAAACCAAACTGGATGAGATCAGAATTCCAATGTGAACTGACAAACTGGACTAGTTGAGTTCAGAATTTAAATTCATGCTAAGAAATTGCATAAGAAAGGAAGAAGGAAAAAATGTGGCGTGCAGAGAAAATGAAAGTGAAAGATTTTTCTTCTAGTGTACAGTACAGTATTAATTTTGTTTTGCATAAAGCATATTGATGGATTTAATTGGATATTCCACGGGAAAGATCACTTTACAAAATATTCATGGTTATTTCCAATGAAAACAAAAGAAGCGCAAAATGTTGCATTAATATTTCAATCAATATTTTATCAATTTGGACCTCCACGGATTCTCCAGTCCGATAACGGACGGGAGTTCACAGCAAAAGTAATTTTGGATTTGAAAAAGACTTGGCCAGAGTTAGTTATTGTTAATGGAAGACCTCGTCACCCGCAAAGTCAAGGGCTTATAGAAAGGGAGAACGCAGTTGTACAACAGATGTTAGGAAAATGGATAGATACAAATAAAACGAGAAATTGGGTTGGGGGTCTCGGTATGTAGAGGAAAATTTTAGCTGAATAAAACCTTACTTGTGCGTTTCTTAATGAAGGACCTGTGATGCTTGCAATTAATAGCAGTATGGCTAAATCAACTCAAAAGACACCTTTCGAGATGGTTTCGGACAAGCACCGCGCTCAGATGAAGAATTCTGGCGTAATATTCAACAACAGAAAATAATAATAAATGACGATGATACAGATGCAAATGGTGAACAGAGAATAATACTAGAAGAAGAACTGCCAAATGAAACACGTTTATTACTTGATGATTTTGATAGAAAAGCTGATGATGTTCAACAAAATAACATTTTAGATAATAATCAACAAGAAGATGCATATAAAGGTCAAGAAACTCTCTTTGTTAACGCCAATACCACTCAAGGTGTGATTCAAAATGGTGATTTAGAAAACTTATTCGGTGATGATGTCGTAGATGTTCATACTGATAATCAGTTAAACATTAATCAAAATGATGAAAATTTACTGAACTGGTTAAATTCAATAACCGATAAAAATAGTAATGTAGGTGATAAAAGTTCAAATGATAATGCACAATCCGTTACTATAAATCAAACGGTGCCTAGTGATATTGTACCTGACACCGCTTCTCTTGAACCAGCTATCAACAATCGTCACAAACGTATTCGCTATGAAGGCGAACAACACTACCTTGCAACGGCTGAAAAACAATTACATAAATACAACACGAGTATAAATAAACGACGGACAAGTTATCAATTGGATGACATAGTTGGAATAAAAATTTCAGAGGTGGATCGAACAAATACTTCATCAACAATATTACCGTGTAAAATAACCAATGTATGTCAACGAGGTGATTGCGGTATGCAGTTATATGAAGTAGTAACAATATACGGTTTAATTAAAGATTTATATCAATCAGAAGTTTTCTATGATCTTAGTAGTTCTAGTTTTGCTGAGCTGCGCGCCTTGAATGTTGTTAATTTACCTCGCATCACATTTATACAAGCTTGTCAGTTTTATACTGATTTCAGGTCTTTTGAAACATGCAAATGTGCAGGCACTTGTGATACTAACAGATGCCCATGTAAAAAACGTAAAACATTATGTTGTACTAAATGTCATAAAGGCAAAACATCGCAATGTAAAAACTGTTGACAAATTTGAATAAAAATAAGCACATACATATTCTAGTACTTTATGAGAACACTGCAGCATGAATTTAAATTCTGAACTCAACTAGTCCAGTTTGTCAGTTCACATTGGAATTCTGATCTCATCCAGTTTGGTTTAGAATTCTAACTTCAACTAGTTCAGTTAGGCACCATTCGTATCACAAC